GTCTGTTTCACAAGTGAGTTGTGGAAGAAGACTACTGAGCAAATGGGCAGTCAACTTCAGATGACTTCAGGGAATCATACCGAAGCCAACGGACAGGCCGAGCAAATGAATAGAGTTGTACAGCACTTGCTGAGGCATTACATCAAGCCCAGCCAGGATGATTGGGATGAGAAGTTGCCTGTCATCGCCAGCCTGTACAACAACATTGTACACAACAGTACCGGCGTTAGTCCTAACCAACTACACTTGGGATGGAAGCCTAGATCTGCTCTAGACTTCCTACTTGAAAACCGATCCTCTGCAACTCCGGGCACACTTGAGTATGGGAAGTTGCTGCAGCGAGCTGTCGATCATATTAAGAAAGCTCAGCAAGCAATGATTGCTTCTCAGAACAAGCATCGACGACAGTCCTCATTTCAAGTAGGGGAACGTGTCTGGGTCAAGGCTAGTGAGCTAGGACAAGAATTCAATATCTCTAGAAAACTAATGCCTCGGTACTTTGGTCCTTGGGAAGTCCTCGATGTAGTGGGGGATGAGATGGATGGTCCTACCTATGTTATCCGTATCCCTGGACGCCTACGCACTCACTCAGTCTTTCATGCCTCAAAGCTGAGACTGATCAATTCCCTTCAAGGAGATCAATGCTGCCCCCAACCATGGATGGCCAAGTGGACTTCGACGACATTGTCGATCACAGGGACATGCCTGTTCCAAAGCCCCTGGGCCGAGGAAGACCTCCTAAACCCAATAGAGAGTATCACCTCAAATTCAAGCATCGTACGGATCCGAAGGAAAATTGGTTCACCAGAGAGGAACTGATTGACACAGCTCCTCAAGTGGTGGCAGAATATGAAAGAAAGTTAAAAGGGACGGCACCTGCGAAGTAAGCATCTCAGCGGACTTTCGAAGCTAAGGGCGATGGAATTTGAGGATTGAGCCCTCAAGAAGGGGCCTTGCCATGATGTACATGTTCTGGGCTAAGGCCCCAGCACGCCTCGTGCCCGCCCTAAGTGAAGGCGGGCCAGCAAATCAACAAGAGCCCTCTGTGCAAACATTTCACGAAGTGGGGTCCATACAGTTGCAGCACGCCAGTTGGTTGGAGTGCACCGAGTCTCCAATCTCTACAAATGTGGAGATCCCAGGGCCTCTGAGTTAGTTAGGCCCTGGGCACTTGAACGTGAGGCTGACAATGCATGCTAGGTATAGAGGCCAAAAATGCCAAAGGGAAATCGGCCCACTATCTGAATCTGGCCGCAGGCCTTGACAAAAGTGGTTCAACTGCATCACCCGGGCCCCAACTGCGTCGGGCCTGGGTTCAGGCACTGGGGCCCAGTCGCAGGCTGAAGGGAGGCTGCCCACCCGCAACACTGGCATATAGGCAAGCAGGGCGAGTGGACAAGGATCTTGGCCAATGCGGGCAACGTCGGCACGCTGCGCAAATGCGAGCTGCTGCGCTGCGCTAGGATGAGGTGCCAGACAGGCAGGCGCTAGGCGGTAGGGCACTGCCTGTGCACAGGGCGCTGGTGGCCGTAGCCGGGCTGCTTAAGGGCACAGGRGAGGTGAGGGCGAAGGTGTTTCTTCGGAGGTGAAGGGCGCTGTGTGGGATAACAAGGGAGAGTGTGGGTGAAGAAGGAGACGTACCTGGTGGAGGAGGGAGGTCGGCATTGGTGTTGACATCATCACTCGCTGGTCGTCAAGTTGTCTGGTTGCTTTCATCGCTGTAGTTGTAGGCTTAGGCTGTAGAGTAGATAGGGCGCCTGGCGCCATTCAGGAGAGAGAGCTACATTGGGTTATGCTGTTGTTGCCCTGATGGGCTTGGACATTGACTCACGATTCTTCTGTATCATTCTCAAATGGATGGTTACTCGGTTCCATTGTGCTATCTGCTCTTGCTTTGACTACTTGGACTTCAGTGTGATTTTGCAATCTGGATTTCTGTGCTTCGTCCATATTCATGTTCCATGCAAAACAAACCAGATCCCCTCGTCGGAATACAAGCCAGATCCAGAACGCGACAACACACGGAATGAATACAAACCAGGTGCACCCAACTATCCTCTTCCGTCTGAACGCGAGCAAACCAAATCAGCGAAGTTGATCAACTATCGACCTAACCAGCCAGAATGCAAATGTATGCGCCATTGTCAGTCAGCAAACTAAAATTAATATAATCAGCCAAACCAGATTTAAACAAATCAACCCAGGTATAATGCATCCATCCATCCATCCATCCATCCATCAATCAACCGGTGGCCCGAAGTGCTAACAGGGCGTCAGAAACTGACCAACTACAGGCCCGATGTGCAATCAATCACATCATCAATCGAATCAAACAAACCAAGATGCAATTGAATCCAACGAGATCTAATCGAACAAACCAGATTTAACCAACCAACCAACCAACCAGGCACAACCATTCAAACCATCAGCAATCAACTCTTGGCTTCAATGAATAAAACTATGCGACACAAACTAACCACCTATAAGCCCGATGCGTTCTTCGATAGAACCAATAAACAAATATCGTCTTTATCACAATGGCAAAAGAAAACGAGATTTCATTTACCAAACAGAAGAACCAAAAAAAGATCAAAATTATGTGATTACTGTTGGAACATATATTTACACGTGTCTGTCTGTTAATTCAGGTGCAAAAATTGTACAGTGTATTAAAATTGTGTATACCTTTCTCGGCCTTTTGGCTGAGATCTAGTATCTGTTCTCATCAGTTTAATATTTGATCCGTGGAAAAAAAAAAAAAAAAAAAAAAAAAAAAAAGTGCATCCTTTCAACAAACAAAGAGCTATTATAAGTGATACTATATCATAGTGTATTTGACAGCTGGCAGCTGGCAAGAGCCACAGCTGGCAATAGGCTCGGGCAGCGTAACGACCGGACGTCAACGACTGAAAGTGGGCTGGTGACGCTCACACCTCCCAATCCGCAAGGCAAGCCCCCTCTCCCTCCAGAATAGGCCTTTAGGCCTTTTGTCTGATTTCACACACCTGCCGGAGGACGTGGTCCTCATCGTGAGGACATGAATTTGGTTCCGTGCGAGCTGGAGACAACCCTGTCCCTCGCACGAACACGATAAAACCATTTTAGCTAATAATGCCTGTTTAGCTCGACCCGCAAGAAAATCGGGGACCTTCGTGGTGATCTCGTTCTCTTGCTCTTACGGACCAGGTTCAGATTTCCTGCCAGCTGAAAACTGCCGTCTCCGCGCCATACCAACCTCGCCTCCTGCCAGCTACCGTCTTCCCTCGAATAGAACGCATGGTCCCCATAGCTGAATTCGTGGCAACTTCCACTTTGGATACAGTGCTAATGACCGTGCGCTCTATTCCGGCGAAAAGGGTAAGAACCCCTTTTACAGGGCCCTCCAGAACAACTGAGGGTTCAAATTTCCTTCAAAAAAAAAGGAAAAAGTTGACGAACTCGAAACAGAATGCAGAGAAAGAACGCGTGTTGCCTAATAGTAATAACGCACCCCACCCCACTCCCTCATGAAAAGGGAAGGAAGAAAAGAGGGGGAGGGGGAGGGGGAGAGGGGGAGGGGGAAAAGGGGGGGGGGGGGGAGAGAATCTCCGACTACAGAACACTAAGGTGGCTCGAGGCTGCCACGTACCTACCATCAGCCATTTGGAGGGCCTCTATGCACCCACCACTCGAGGCCAATTGTGAAAGACAGCGTGCCTATAATTTCCAGTTTCAGCGCGAGCGGTGGTGCCGCGAGGTACAAACTCTGAAGCGAAGCTGTCTTTCGCATTTGGCGGGCCTCGATCCACCACTCGCCCAATGTGAAAGACAGCTTCGCTTCATATTCCAGTGGCTAAAAGTGGCGGGAGTGTATAGACAGCGTGCATATTCCAGTGGCTAAAAGTGGCGGGAGTGTATAGACAGCGTGCATATTCCAGTGGCTAAAAGTGGCGGGAGTGCATAGACAGCGTGCATATTCCAGTGGCGAAAAGTGGCGGGAGTGCATAGACATCGTGCATATNGCATATTCCAGTGGCGAAAAGTGGCGGGAGTGCATAGACATCGTGCATATTCCAGAGGCGAAAAGTGGCGGGACTGTATAGACAGCGTGCATATTCCAGTGGCGAAAAGTGGCGGGAGTGCATAGACAGCGTGCATATTCCAGTGGCGAAAAGTGGCGGGAATACACTCCCGCCCCTTTTAGCGAGTGGTGGTGCAGCGAGAGGTACAGACACGGAAGCGAAGCTGTCTAATTCTGGGAAATAGTAAATCAGTAAACTCAGTTTAAATCACCGTATTCCCAAGAACAGAGGATACGTGGGCAGGAAACTCCAGGATTCCGACGAGTGATTCCCTACACGACATATCAACCGACATATCAACCACCTGCGAAGGATGTCAAAGAAAACGAAACGTAAAAGGAACGACCATTCCCAGGAACAGGGGATACGCGGGCAGGAAGTAATTCCCTACACGCACGACATATCAACCACATACGGATGTCAAAGAAACAAGAACGTAAAAGGGAAACGACCATTCCACGCAACCACACCCTCCACCTCTTAGGAAAGGAAAACGATCATTCCACGCAGCCACACCCTCCACCTTTTATTTTCTGTATCATGCACATAATCGACCTCGGACACTACTCTAGCAAGCCCCTGAGAAAGACAACTGGGGCGGCTTTTGGATTTTTCTTTGGGCGGGGGTGGGGGGGACGAGAGAGAGAGAGAGAGAGAGAGAGACAGAAAGCGAGGTATGAGAGAACAAAAAAAAAAAGAATAAGAGAAAAAGAGGGAGAGCCGAGAGAGGGAAAGTAATAGTAGAACAAAAGACGATATCGGGGGGCAGTCAGAGCACCGAAGCAGGCATATACAAGAACGTTTGAGAGAGAAACAAGGTGGATGGAGGATAATTGGGGTAGGGGAGAGAGCCAGCGGGGGCGGGGGGAAGGGGGGAAGGGGAATAAGGACGTCGGTTGCTTGCAGAGTCCGTTGACGTCGCAGTCAAAGTTGACTTGCCTGGTATGTGCTCCACTCCAACAGCTCGTCCGGTTTCTCCCACTAGCATGGCGAAGACTGCCGTGACGTATCCCGATCCCGACCCCACGTCGAGTACCCTCATACCGGGCTGAAGGTATGGTTCAAGCAGCTCGAGACAGTGGGCGTGCATGTGCGGCGCGGATATGGTGGCGTTGAAGCCAATAGGCTGAGGGCTGTCTTCATAGGCACTCCAGTCCGCGGGGACAAAGAGACCCCGATCTATCTTCTTCATGGCCTCTGCGACACGCGGCGTGTGCAGAATCCTGTTCTTCAGGAGGTGATCGACTAAGTCCTGATTGTCTTTCCCATGGCTACGCCACGCCATCATGAGCTCCAACGGGTTTCCCCCACCTCTTCCTCTTCCTCGTCCTCCCCCTCCCCCTCCTACTGCTCCTCCCCTTCCTGCCTCTACTCGATGTCCGCGCTCCTGACCCCAACGAGTACGAACCCCCCCTTCTCCTCCTCTACCCTCTTCGCTCACTACACCCGAGACCAGTCCTCCCACCAATTCATGCCGCAAAGTGCACGCCGTGCTCTCGGGCGCCTTTCTCGCGCACTGAAACTCGCCGCCCGGATACACAGCAGCCGAGCCCGTGTCTCTCGTCGGGTCACCCCCCACCCCCCAACCACTGAGGCCTCGGCCGCTGCTCCGTAGACGACCTCGACACTCCGCTTGTACCAGCGACACTCCTGGGTTCTGAGTACACGTGGACAAAAGAAGCCACGAGGCCACGGGAAGGACGGACAACGACTGCCGGAGTATTACTGCGGGCAGCCCTTCGCCTGCCACGTCTTTCCCCGCAAACCGAACATCTCCCTCCCGTCCTCCTTCCCGCCCTCCCCGGCCTTTCCGCCCAGTAGAACAGCGCGATTCGCTTGTCAGGGAACTGCCGGCAGTGGCGGGATTCATAAATCCTCGGTGGCGGGAGTATTCTTCCTGCTTCCCGCTCCTTCTCCAGGATCTTGCCGAAAAAGGTGAAGCCGGCGGATGCAGCAAATTGACAAAACTCAGCCGCCGCCGGACAGTGCTAACGGCGGACGAGGCACGCGGGAGGTACTTCACACACGCACTGTTCAGGCCGCACTTGATCGGATACGACAAGACGTCCATGCAGAGATGCGTTGCACTTGGGAATCCACGCCGACGACTCCCGCCCAGAATTCACTATTGCAGCAATTCAAAACCGCATGGCGCGCTATATCCCGCGAAGCAACCGCGATACACACGATTCAAAACCGCATGGCGCGCTATATCCCACGAAGCAACCGCGCTACACACGAAGCAATTGCTTGCTGTGCTGCGCCTTGGCAAGCTTTTCCAAAACTGGTTGACCGAAGGTCACCCACCGCCATCGTCAGTCCACTGCTGCTTCTACATGAGCGTTTGCTGAGCACAATTCCCGATAACCGATCCGCATGCACTTGCGGCAATACCATCCCTTGACCAGATCGTTCAAATTTTGCGCTTCCCAGAAGGCGTTTACCTTTTCTACGTCAAATTTTCTGCTTCCCAGAAGGCGCGTATCGTTCTACGTGTCCGGCTTCCTGGTTTTGCTCAAAACCAGTCTTGCGGCTGCTCGATCCGGAGCGATTCGAGGATAGGATGGCAACCATGCAGTGATCTCCGCTACTCGACTCCCTGGAGAAGAACCACGTGACGGATCATGTGACGAGCAAGTGATCCGTATAGTGTTTCCTTTTGCGGCACTGTCTGGAGCAGTTCGGGGACGTTTATTTTTTTTATTTTATTTTTTTGCTCCCCCGAAGAGGAATAGGGCCGCTTCGCACTCTGCTGCAGTGCAATACAGACGCAACGCTGGAGGGATCGAGCAGGCAAGCCTACCCCTATGACCCCTCCGAAGCCCAGAAAAATTAATTTAATATCGTAGTGGCCCGATGGACCACGGATCAGATACTGATCAGAACAGATACTACACTTGATCTTAGCCAAAAGGCCAAGAAAGGTAACAGGAGTCGCCCCACCAATTGGGAAACGTGAAAAAGACAAAAATATGGCGGTTGAATCTTTCCATGTTTAAGGGGCAGATTCATTCTCATTTTGCACATTGGGTGAGTACTGCCGCGAGGCCCAATGTGTCCCTGCCAACAGAGGTTCGCAGCCGGGACATTTCGGGTCTGTCGAGAATCAGCTGTGGTGGGAGTACATCCGCTGGTCGTCAATGCCCCGTTGCCGGGCCAAATACCCTTGTAAGGGTATTTGGCCATGCTTTTGCATTCGACATGGTGACGGCGTCGGCTACCATGACGGACGCAGTCTGGAATGGAAAGGGTGTGCACGCTTGAGCGTGACACTCGAAACGAATTCCTCGACCATTGAGGCCGGGGCAAATAAGTATGCGCGCGCGTTGTTATGACGCACGCCGTGAAGGTTGGGATCTGCAGTAATACCCTTCGACCGAAGAGGTTGAGGGGTCGATAGGGTTGATGTTATGACAAGTAGATCTACGATGTACGCTGAGACTTAATCGTCAGTACATCAGTCATAATAAATTAATACACGCCCCGGTCGTACGACCGGAGCAATTACAAGTGTATGATCATCGGGGTTGAAGTAGCACCCCGATTGTTGACGCTTGCTCGAGCGGTACCTTTATCCCTACTAATGCACCGTAAGCGAGGTTGAGGCTCTAGCTCAGCCTCCCGTAGGTAGAAGGGGAGTCGCTCCTTGCTTGGTGACTTCCTGACCGCATGACTACCCGAGCGACCCGTGCCTTCGTCCCTCTGCAGAGGGAGACACCGTTGCAAGTTCTGATATCATCCGCACGGGGTCGAAACTAAGACTACTTGAGCTAGTACCCGCCTACCTAACGATACTGGGCCTCTAAAAATGTCAACTTTTGTGTTCTCCTGCTCAGCTCGAGTATCCGGCGCGTCCACCTCTTGGTGTGGCACCGGCCTAACTGCTGCCTGCTGCAGCCTTAAAAAAACGCGGCCATAGGTAAACACCGTCGTGTCGGGCCGCTCAAACAATTAGGTGTCCCTACGGGACACACGCACAGACCTGCGGGACACGCACGGACTTGCGAGACACACGCAGACTGCAGGTCACACACACACTGCACACGCTCCGATCGACAGACACTCGGACAGGCACGCTGACTTGCAAGCATGCACACACACGCAGACTAAGAAATTCGGGCCAACTGCATCTACTTATAGAAAGGCGGCTCTTTACCATACTGTGGTAAGAGTTAGCCCAGTAGGTATAGGCACAAATTGATATGCAACGGATCTTGGGATCGAGTCTGACTTGCCTACGGGCTAGCTCTTTTGTTAGCTGCGAGGGCGAGGCCTGCCTTTTCCGCCCGCCCTCAGACAGGCGGGATTCTAACCCGCGACCTTAGAGTTAGAATTAGTTCAAGATAGGTTGTTAGTTAGGGCTTGGGTGTCTACCCGACACTTGACACGTACATAATTTTTCTGGTTAGATTCTGTTCTTTTGTCTTTCTTTTATTTATTTATTTTTTTTATAGTTGGATTCTCCTTTTATTATTATTATTATTATTATTATTATTTTGGTTTATTTCTTCCTCCCCCCCCGATTCTCGTACGAAAATTTGGTGAATTAATGGTTAGAACTGGGGCAAATTCATTTCCCCGGACTTCCCGACATCCAACCTTTGACGACTTCGGGGCGGGACTATCTCGCTGGAGTACGGTAGGAAAGGAGCGTCGAGGCAGAAAGGGCGAGCACGGATTAGCAAAGAAGGGACTGCGCGCGGGCGGAGAACGAGGCAGCGCAGGGAGAGAGAAGAGAACGCGCGAGGAGGGATCTCGCTACCTCGAAGCCTAGGCGGAGGGGAACTCTGAACGGAACCAAGAAGGGTCGCGCGGAAGAAGGGCGACACGCGAAAGAGAAACGAGAGGAGTAGTGGTAGGAGAAGACTGAAGGAGAAGAAGAAGTAGGAGGGAAGGAGGAGGAGAAGAAGGAGATGGAGAGAAGGGGAAGAAGGAGAGAGGAGGTGGCAAGCAGGAAGCGGGCGAGTTAGCAAGTGGGGAAGTTCGAAAAGTAAATGATCGCGCGATAGAAGGAGGGCGCGCGGGGCGGTAGCGCAAACAGGGAGCGAAGAGGGGAGTAGCAGAGGAGACCGGGAGAAAGGGAGAAGTCACACGAAGATGGTAGCGCACACGAGCGGGGGAAACAGATAGCCGCACAAGAAGAAGAAGAAGAAGAAGAAGAAGAAGAAGAAGAAGAAGAAAAAGAAGAAGAAGAAGAAGAAGAAGAAGAAGAAGACGAGGAAGAAGGAGGGAAGAAGAGGAAGAAGAAGAAGAAGAAAAAGAAGAAGAAGAAGAAAAAGAAGAAGAAGAAGAAGAAGGAGAAGGAAAGGAGGTTCATCGCGACGGGAAGAATATTGTAATTATCGATCTTGAACGAGAAATGCCTAGTAAACGCGAGTCATCAGCTCGCGCTGACTACGTCCCTACCCTTTGTACATACCGACGTCGCTCCTACCGATTGAATGGTCCGGTGAGGTGTCTGGATTGCGAAGATCTTGACGGGTTGCCGCTGGGGAGTGCGGTCGAACAACATCGGTCGACGACGACGACATCGGCCGCTACGACGACGACAACGGGGAGAGAGGGAAGAGGTAAGTTTCCGATCTTGCGGCTTACCTCATGATACATCGATAAGATAAATAAAATAGAATAAATAAATTAAATAAATAAATAAATAAATGAGAACAAAATCGATTGAATCTACCACTATGATTTGGATACATACATTACTCTGTGTGTGTGTGTGTGTGTGTGTGTGTGAGAGAGAGAGAGAGAGTTCTTCTTCTTATCTTCTAAGTCCACCATCTCTCCTTCTCCCTCTCCCTATCTGACTTCTCAGTCTCTGCGGACTACGAGAGAGAGAGAGAGAGAGAGGGGAGGGATGGAGACAGGTGACATCTGTGTGTGGGGCCGAGTCCGTGAGTGTAGCGCGAGACATACCTGGTGATGGAAGCATGCGACATTGGTCGCCATGCGCTCGTACTTCGGGGATGCTGTTGATGTCATCTTTCTGCTTCGTAGTATAGGGTAGATAGGGTCTGTCACGTGTAGTCTGGGCACCGAGCGCCAGGTAGGATGCCAACATTGATTCTTCGTTGATGATGATGGGACTGTTCCAGCATTGTCACTTCTGAGTTGTTGCTATGTTCTTATCTGGTGAATCTCGGTGTCGGACCAAATACCCTTACAAGGGTATTTGGCCATGCTTTTGCATTCGACACGGTGACAACATCGGCTACCATGATAGAGCCAGTCTGGAATAGAAAGGGGTGTGCACGCTTGAGCGTGACACTTGGAACGAATTCCTCGGCCATTGAGGCCGGGGCAAAATCGGTGAGAAAATTTCGTTAAGTATGGGCGCGCGTTCTTATGACGCACTAGGATCTGCAGTAATACCCTTCGACCGAAGAAGTTGAGGGGTCGATAGGGCTGATGTTATGACAAGTAGATCTACGATGTACGCTGAGACTTAATCGTCAGCACATCAGTCATAATAAATTAATACGCGCCCCGGTCGTACGGCTGGAGCAATTATTAGTGTATGATCATCGGGGTTGAGGTAGCACCCCGATTGTTGACAATTGCTCGAGCGGTACCTTTATCCTACTTGTGCACCGTAAGCGAGGTTGAGGCTCTAGCTCAGCCTCCCGTAGGTAGAAAGGGAGTCGCCCCTTGGGAGGTGACTTGCTGACCGCGTGACTACCTTAGCGACCGCTGCCTTCGTCCCTCTGCAGAAGGAGACACCGTTGCAAGTTCTGATATCGTCCGCACGGGGTCTAGACTGAGACTACTTAACCTAGTACCCGCCTACCTAACGGTACTGGGCCTCTAAAAATGCCAACTTTTGTTTTCTTCTGCTCGGCTTCGAGTACCCGACACATCTACCCCTACTTAGTGTAGGTATGGGCTTGCCCGTCACTTGTGTGTTTTCCCCGCGGCGACTTTCAAAGTCTCAGCCGCAGGTAAGGACCGGCCCGACGGGCCGTCTGATTAAACAAATGCCCCTGCAGGTCATGCGCACACTCAAACCGACAGGCGTTCGGACAGGCATGTAGGCCGGTAGGTGTGCACGTGTGCAGACTTGGAGAGCGGGCTCAGGCCACTAGGCGGACTGAGCCTTGCTCAACTACTACATACATACTGAGTTGCTCCCCTTCTACTCGAAGTGGGAGCTAGCTCAGTAGGTTTA